TGCTGCTGCTGCTGCTGCTGCTGCTGCTGCTGCTGCTACTGCTGCTGCTGCTGTTACTGCTGCTGCTGCTACTGCTGCTGCTGCTACTGCTACTGCTGCTGCTGCTGTTGCTGCTGCTGCTGCTGCCGGGTACAGATGCTGCTGATGTTGTTATATGAAGCTGAATTTAGCAGTTTTTATTTTTCTCTTTTTTTTGTATTTTATATATATATGATAAATAAAACAAATAAACTAAATAAAATAAATAAAACAAATAAAATAAATAGAATACATAAAACAAACTAAATAAAATAAATAAATAAACTAAATAAAATAAATAAAATAAATAAAATATGTTTGTTTTGTGTGCAGACATGTATCTCGTTTGACGGGTCTGGATTTGGGTGGTGTAATTGGTGGGGTTGCTTTATCGGGGTGTATATACACCTCAATAAACCAGCAGAACGTGTTGCTGCAGCTGTATGTGCTGCAGCGTGTATTAGTGTATGTACGCAGCAGCAGCAGCAGCGAGGAGCTGCGGGGGTTGATAGGTGTGTTTGGGGTTTCGTTGGTGTTGGGTCTGTTTCCCTCTGAGCTGCCTCTATCTTTCTCTCGTTTTCTTCTTTTCTCTATATGTAAACATTCTCTCTTTTGGCTAGATAAAGATATGTATCTCCCGCAGCAACTCCTCGCTTATACATACACTGAACAGCAACATAACACCCGCAACGCACACCTGCAGCAGCAGCAGCAGCAGCAGCAGCAGCAGCAGCAGCAACAGCAGCAGCAGCAGCAGAAATCTCGACAAGAAACGCAGCGTACATATGTGCAACAAACAACACACAATGTGCCCACACACATGCAAGAACGGCGGCTGCAGCAGCAGCAGCAGCAGCAGCAGCAGCAGCGGCAGCTACAGCTGCAGCAGCAACAGCAGCAACAACTGCAGCAGCAGAAGCAGCTGCAGCAGCAGCATGAACTGCAGGGATATGATCCACATCAGCAAGACCAAGACCTGCAGCAGCAGCAGCTGCAGCAGCAGCAGCTGCAGCAGCAGCAGAAGCAGCAGCAACAGCAGCAGCAGCAGCAGCAGCAGCAGCAGCAACTAGAATCACAGCAGCAGCAAGAAGTAATTTCATCAGTATTAGCTGCAGCAGTGCGGCGTCTGGTGCGAGCCAAGAGCGCGCACGAGGATCCCCCTGACCAGCAGCAACAGCAGCAGCAGCAGCAGCAGCAGCAGCAGCAGCAGCAGCAGCAGCAGCAGGGTCTAGGTTCTTTCGCAGACACAGACACAAAAGGTGTATTTCCCTTCAGCAGAGAAGAAACAGAGCTGGGGTTGGCGCCGACATCTGAGGAGATAGTTGCTTACGTTATGGCGAGAGAGAAGCAAGGATCAGCTGCAGCAGCAGCAGCAGCTGCTGCTGCTGCTGCTGCTGCTGCTGCAGCAGAATCACTACTTTCCAATGCGCAGTGTCAAAGACACCACGAATAGCTTATTTTAATCACACCCTTTCTCTGCGATGTATCTGCACCTCTGCGGTGTATCTGCACCTCTGGGGTGTATGTGCACCTCTGCGGTGTATGTGCACCTCTGGGGTGTATGTGCACCTCTGCGGTGTATGTGCACCTCTGG